TAACATTTATAGTTTTCATAAGTAGTACATATAGATAGAATACCAATATAAATATTAGTTTTAATAAATAATCTCTAATATTAAATAATAAATAAAAATACTAAATCAACGAAGATAATTACCTCCAAGACTTACTAAGACTATTTTTACTACTAACATTCTAATTTTCTATTTCTTCAAAGATTCCTACACTATTTACTGTATATTATGATTTAAATCATTCTAAATGCATATTTTTATCCTAAAAAAATAAATAAATCAATTTGATGACTCATAGGTTTGTATGATTATATATTCGTGATAGTAGATCATTTTATCAAGATGGCACATTATACCAAAGTTGATACTCAAAAAGGAATTGAAAAGAGTTACAAAAGCCTCAACAATAACTAAATAACATGGTGGCTTTCTACCTTGGTATAAGACATTATAGATGGTTTAAAGGACCTATCAACGATCTTTGAAGAGAACAAAGATTAGAATATGAAGCAAATATAATTTATCATATCTTTAATTTTTACAACATATGATAAGTGCTTCTTGTAGAACTCATTTCTAGAAGAGAAGATAATATCATAAATATATATAATTATTCTAATATTTTCTTATATGACTAAATAGAAGTAAATAAAATTATATTTATTTTATAATATTTTCTAAAAAAGTATCCTAAAAGCTTTATTGATATTGCTTTGATTTTATATGTGTTAGTTTTTAATTGGTAGGTTAGAAACTTGGTCAATAAGTTAACCACATGTTAGTAGCTTGTGAAACAAGTTAATAATATGGCACACATATATAAAATTTGCTTTAGAAGTTAAAATATGTGTCTTATATAGTCAATACATTTTAGAAGTCTTATAGGACATCACCACCTAGTTCTTAATTAAGAATATATATGGAGGAAAAAGTGAAGCCTTCTTCATTCTTGTCAATGTCTTTCTAATCTTTAATCTTGTTTCAAGAGTTTTTAGTCTTCTTGTCTTTGGAAATAGCCATCCTAGTTTAATATTATATCATCTTTGAATGATTTTTTAGTCTTTTTGAGTTACATAAGAGTGTATTGAGATTTTCTATCTTCAAAATTCATATCCTTGATACTCCAATAAATATAATTAATAAACAATTGAAACAATCCATTCACAAATAAAAAATGGTCCAAGTCTATGATAATTTAATTTGTTACATGGAGAACTAGACTTAATATAATTACAAAGTAATCATATCTTGTTGCTAATATGGAATTTGAATTGTTCTTTGTAATAGGCATCTATATTAATTTTTTGTCATTTTTGAGGTTTTTTTAATTGTACCTTTATTATTACATATAGCTCTAATTAATAATTTATTAAACCTTTGGCTATAGGATTATTAATTTTTAAAAAATTAAAAATATAAATTTATAGATGATTATTATATGTATTAATTTATAGATGATTATTATATGTATTAATTTATAGATTAAAATTAATACAAAAAAATATTTATTGAATATTAGAATGTTTTGTGTTACTATTAGAAAGCTTTGTCAATAACAAAAGAATTATCCAAATACCTTGATAATAATTGATGGTATATCTCAAATACTACTTTAAAAATTGATTCACATATTTTGTTTATTTGTCAATCTAAAGATGAAAAGCTAAAGATGAGATTCTCCAAAACTTTGATATACATTGAATTACTCTATATAATATAATATTCCTTGATAATCTATGATAAAGTTAAATATTGTTAAAGAAAAATTAAAGTATTTTTTAATTTGTAATATTTTTTGTATGTGGTATTAAATATGTCATTTTAATTAAATAGCCTTTTATTACAAATATAGAGACATAAAAATTTAAGATTAAAAGATTTGTAACAAAATTCATAGAAATAAGACCATAATTGTTCTCATATTAGTAATGACTAAAGAAGTCCAAAAGGTCAATAACAAGGAGTTTTTGATCTTGAATAAACATCACTTGATTATATAAAGTTTTTAATTTCTATTTTAATTTTATTTGAGATCACTAAAAATTTCTAAATATTAACTCCAAGATCTTCTTGTATCCAAAATGTCTTGTAGTTAAGAAATTATAATAAGCTTGAAGAGCATGTAATCATATTTCATCTTTTAGAATATATAAGCATGTCTTCAAATATAAAATATTTTTTTGAATTTAATTTAAAAATATCATGAAATTTAAAATAATTATTTTAAATATCATTAACAAGAAGATTTAAAGACTTACTTGATTGAATTTGTTTAAAAAAGATTGAATCAATTATCAATGTTGATTTCATTCTTGAAAAATAATTTTTTTTGGCTTCAATAGAATTTTTTGTTATTGCTCAAAAGTTGCATTATCTTCTTTTGATGTAAGATACAAATATCTAAAAAAGGATAACAAATCTTCTTATTTTACTAGTCAATATGTGATTTTAAATTCAAATCTTAATAGAGGCATGCTTCAATGTGCTTGGAAATAATTTAGAATATATATTGATATGCAGTACTCAAGGTTCTTATGATTCATATAAACAATCACCAAATTTAAAGTGCCTTTTAGATAATTAAGCTATTCTTGAAATGAATCTATAATTCTAAAAAATTCTTTGTAGTAGAGCTTATAGTTTAAATTTATTTCTAAAAATGTTCTTGAATAAAAAACAACAAAGTGAAGTTTGTCATTTGTTTCTATTTGTAAAAATATGATAATTAAGGCAAAATATGATGCATTTATTTCTATGAAAAATAAATTAGAAAAATTAATATAAAAATAAAAATTATCTTCAAAGTATTAATTAATTATTTAATTTCTTTATTCCTCTCAAATTTTTCTTTGCAAAACAAATGTATAAATAGAACTACAACCTAAGAAAAATTCATGGAGAAGATTTGACAATAATTAAAAAAATTTAGAAAATGTTACACATTTCTTATTATTTTTGGAATCTTTTAATTCATGATAATTTGACCTTTTTAAAGATCAACCATAAGACAATCATTTAAAATTATGTATTTGAAGAAGTCAAGTTTAATTTTATATAATATATAATTTTTTATCTTAGAATATAGTCTTGTATCTCTAACTTTTTGTAATAAACAATAAAGATGAAGTCCATATTTTTTTGTATTCTTAAAGTAGATTAAAATATTGTTTACATAATAGACAAAAAAATCATCTAAAATTCCTCAAAAAAATATCATTTATAAGATGTTGAAAAATAACTAATACATTTGTGAGTTGAAAAAGCATAAATTTATATTCAAAATACCTATACCTTGTTCAAAATACACTCTTCTATTCATCTCTTTTTTTGATGCATACCAAGTTGTATGCTCCTTGTAGATCTATTTTTATATAAAACTTGGTTTGATTTAATTGATTAAGAAGTCTGAATATCATAAATAAATGATAACTATTTTTGATAGTAATTATATTCAACCCTCTATAATCTACATACATGTCTAATAATCTATATTTTTTTGTTTATAAAGAAGATATGAGCTCTTGCTAGTAATTTTGAATGGCATATGTAATTCTTTTCATCTAAAGATTATATTTTTGAATGGCATATGTAATTCTTTTCATCTAAAGATGAATTGAATTTTGAATGGCATATGTAATTTCTTTTCATATTCTACAATATAAATATAATCCTTCTTGACAATGATGATGAGTCTTTTTTTGCTTATTAAGAAATTTAAAACATACACCATCAACTTGTATGTCTTTTACTTCTAAATGTATGTACTAACAAGATATTAGTATTGCCATTGAATTATTAAAATATTGAGGCATACTTATGTGATTGTCAAATCAAAATTTAAAAAGCTAATTGTCACATATTATAACAAAGTTGATTGCTTAATTCAATGTCTATAGATCAAGTAAGTAGAATATCAATTTTTTTACTTCATATTATAATTTAAAGAAAAATTGGTTGATGAGTGCATTATCATCCTATTTGATATTAATTGCAAGTTGTCAAAATTGTGAAGCATATAATGTTACAAATGGATTACCTTATTGCAAAATACAAATTATGTTGCTTACAATACATATTGCATCATGTTTTCTATTCAAAGATCAAACATTAATTTCTTCATTTATTCTTGTATTTGTGCTATTACAAGCTTCATTTTAGCAAGCTCTACTATGATAGCATAATAGAAAAAGAAGATGTCCAATATCATTCAAAACAAGTAAAAGAGAGGACTTGAAGAAAAAGAGAATTTCAAGAACATTATCAATTCAGAAGTGAATAATCCACAACTTTTAATATACTTATGCCTTATGAAGAAAATGATGTAATCTATACTTAATCAAGACAAGACAAAGTTTTGATGTTGTAAATAGACTCTTGTCATTTTATGTTCCTTAGTTCATTTTTTATTTAAAAGAAAAATTAAGATTTCAAAGAATTGATGTCATTGCACTTTAGCTATTAACAGCTTATTGATCATTCTTTTTAGAGAAGATATATACCAATATATCATAAAGACAAATATTTAAAAGGTATGATCATTGCATATCTTATTACTATTAAGAGAGATTCTTTGTTCCCACCTATAGATCACAATTCATCGTACATAATTTCCTATTGCAAGCATTGCAAAGTCAATTCTTTGGAAATTCCCAATAATTTGTAACTAAATGAGAATTAATTACCTTTACAATTAAATTGAACCAATCATCATAGTTGTTTAAAACCTATTAAGATTGACTAAGCACTGTTAGAATCTCTTGGAAACTATTTGACCAACATTCTCAACGTTGTCAAAACACAGAGAAGGAAAGGAAATGAACCGAAAGTGGAGGGGGAGGAGGCAAGAAGGGGTTGAAATCCAAGCAGAACATGCATCGCCAGGCACAAAAGCTCTTTCCCGAGCTCAAGGATACAAGACTGACTTCCTGAGAAACCTTGGGGTGGAGCATCGGGAGGGGCCGATTCCGGAGGGAGGAGGACGAAGTTGCTCAGTTCTGTTACGAGGATGAACGTCGCTGTGCAAAGCCCTGTTGGTGATGGCTGAAAGCCAGGAAGGGCTCCTCCGCAAGGGAAGGAAAGGAAAGGAGATGGGGTTCTTGCAACTGCGCACTCGATGTTTTGACGTGCGGATCCAACCCTTGCAGCAGCACGTGCAGCTTCCCCACATACAGTTCCCTCACCATCAGCCCAACTGCTGGAGATCTCTGTCGTCATGCCGCAGCGTCAGTAGTCTCTTCGGAATTGCCACTGCGTCTGCCCATCTGTATTTTGAGTTCATGCACATTTCTGGTTCATTGTTGTTGGGCGAATTGTCGGAGCTGGGTGGTGTATATTTCGTCGTGACTGGGAGCCCTGCCCTTCTTTGTGCTGGAGCTGTTTCAATCTCGCCAAAACCCGCGCAGTTCGTCCCCATGGATTCTTCCACTCCCTTCTCGAATTGGGTCCTTCTTGGCATCGTCTGCATTTTCACCGCCTCTGCGTACGCTGTTCATTCACTGTCGCCCTCGGAGCCGCTCTTCAGTTCCTTGCCCGTGCCTTCCGTTTCTCGTTTCACCGTGTGCCATTAATCTCCTACAGGCATCTTGTATTGGGTCGGCTTCCAAGTCGTAAATGCTGATTCATTGTGGTCGTTTGATGCCTTACGCCCTTTACGTTGGTTCGCCCCAGATGCGTGACGAGCGAGCACTTGGCTATGGAGTCCGGCGCGAAGGCCACCGGATACAAAAATGGAAAGAGGTACGTCACAAGTCCACCCATGTGCAACTGAGCTGCCTTGCAACTGGATAGTTATAAACACTTTTAGCTGCTCCTCAAACTCTAGGCAAGTGGCCGGTTTCATGGGGACATCGTCCTGATGGCTCCAACCGCTGTGCTTCTGGGTCATCCTCCAACATCATTGACAGCAGATTTGCATCGCCTGGACACCGCGAAGGTTGTGGTAGCGAGAACGATATCATTTCTAGAAAGACCGCCATTTGCACACATGCGACCGGTACGCTTTGAGTTCACGGTCGACCTTGAGACGGTCGGACGGACCACGTTCCGCCCACCATTCAGCGAGCACTCACTGACAGGCAAGCCCCGAGTGCAATGCAGGAAAGTGATCGAGCACGCGGTGCTGTTTCAGTTGAAGGCTGACACACACACCAAGGTGAAGGAGGACATGGTGCGGGGGTTGGCCGATCTGAAAGAAGATTGTCCAGAATGGGTGGTAGCGGAGTCTGCAGGTCCGTCGCATTTGACTTTGTCGGTTCCCTGTGCTTTCATTTCAACATCACCGCAGTCAGGTTTCTCACTATTCTGGCCATGGCCCAGACATGTTCGATTCATATCGACATCACCATCATGACGATTGTAGGCTCCAGATAGAGTCCGGGTCTCCACTCATTTCTGGAGATTGCGTGCACCAGAAACCGAGGAAGTTCGTTGACTCAGCATGAGTCCACGATAAAATCGTACTCACTCCTCGGGGGCTAAAACCTGCTGAACGTGGGAGGTTGAAACAAGTCTGACTGCACTGAAATGACTCTCGTGAATGTTAGCGGCGGGCAAAAAGGGATCGATTACAACTCGGAACCACCACCCATACGTCTCGTGACCTCCGGCCAGAAGCAATGTGCTCGTTCTGCGGGCATTGCAAGCACAGTGATGTATATTCAGGAGCAGTTGTGTTGTGGCAACAAGCGTTAACCTCGATATTTCGGCAATGCAGGCCAGATACTCCAACCCAGCCAAGCAAAAGGTGCAAGCGTTGGACTGTTCATGCGTTTGTTTTCGACGAGGGATCTTGATGTTTACTTTGCCAGCAAGCAGAAGAACGACATGGCTAGCAAATACATTGTGCCATTCATGACGGTAAGCTTCGGGCCAATTAGAGGCTTGATATCTCTTACCTTGGAGTCTTCGGTTTCACCAGCTCGCGAGATGGTTCTGCATGTGCACTTTTGGTTTTCCTGTGCATTTATCTTTTTACAAGGTTACGTCGCAATATCTTCCCGCCTACGGGATATTTCTCTTGATCTCGGTGAATGAACCAAAAAAGTCTGCGTGGAGCGTTCCAACACGCCGTGGAGACCCTGGGTGGATTAAACCCCTCAGGCCTGAGCAATTGTGGGTGTTGTCAAGCGCGCAGGGTGAGATCACGCTGGATTACGAGGCAGAAGTGGACGACAATGACGAATCTGTCTATAGACAAGGACATGTACTACCCCCCACCCAAGATCTAGCTGCGGCTTCCACTGTGCACGCCACTCGTGACAGCTGCAAAGTGGGATGTTTCTATCTATCTAGCTTTTAGATGCACTGTGCTGATCCCGAACCAAGCCGTCATCATCCGTGCCTGCCCAGCTGAAATGCGAAGCTTATACCATCGGCGGTGAAAACGCCATCGACTAATAAGTACTATCAAATATATATGTTCCGACTTCTTTCCACACGAACACATCATGTAATGACCTGCAGGAGGTGTGGGTTCTTGCAGGCGTTTGAGAACGGGGCAGAACGTATTATCGGGATAAAGGTGACAAATGGGACGTCCAAAGACGAAACGGATTCCATGATGAAGTCCTTGAACGATCTGAACGATGCACCGGAGCTCAGGTCCCTTCTGGTTCAGATAACTGCTGGTACGCCGGTCATCTTTAGTCTCTCCACCGAAATGCTATTGAATGTTCGGTGCCTGTCATTTGCAGAACTCATGTTGATATAGCCACGAATGATTTGGATATCGAACATCTCGCAGGAACCAATTTCTGTGCCCGGGACCAACGTTACACGCACGGCGTCGTGGTGAGATGTCCTTCATGTAAGTCTACCCCTTTCTGCCTCTGAAACGTGATCCGATCCGACAGTGATGAGTTGTGTCAGGATGCAAGGAATTGGTAGTAGGTGATTCGGAGAGGATTTTTCTGGTCGGTGTGTGTATCCAAACTGGTACATATCGAATATCCATACCCTCTGGTATCCTTCTCGGGTGAATGGATAGAGCACCTCATGTATGAGTGGCAAGTTCTGTGAAGTTCCCTGACTGGTGTAACAACAAACGGAAGTGACAGCTGAGGTGGGACATGCGCAGTGAAAGCCTTGCAGGAGTACACAGCACACCCACGCGTGATGGAGGTAAGTATCAGAGCTCCTGAGTGCAGTGGAGCTTTGAGACAGTTGTATGATTCCACTCGTGAGACGTTTTGCAAAGGCTTTGAACCTCCAGCAGCTACGTGGGCCATTGTAGCGTCGATGATTTAGAGTCGGGATGGTTATTCATGTTGTGGGTTGCGCAGGTGATTGCGAAGACAGTGTGGCCGATTGCAGAGAAAATCCTCACTGCGGACTATATTGTGGATGCTTCAGGCAGCAGGAGATCCTCCTTGTAGTTAGCGATCTTTGAGTGAACATGATGTTGGTGATGGGCAGTAGGAACGAGTGTGAGCATGTTGCCAGTAGGAGCGTGCTCTATGCACCAGAACAATGCGCATTTCGTGAACCATACTCCACATAATGACTACACATTAACAATCATTTTGATTTTGCATTCATCTCAAGGAAGAACATGCAATGGGTTTCATCGAGCACTGGGTGCAGCAATTTCAAAGATTAAATTTTCAGATCTCATTTTGAAAAGCGCGGGCGTGAAGCATTAGGATGATTCGGCCATATTTAGTGTATGGAATGAGATATTTGAGTTAGAATTCGAATATTTTTGAATTCACGACTTGAGGGACGAAAGAGTAGAGTATAAAATATGCATGTCTACTAAATGAAGTGGTTTTTATCCATTCTGCAGGAGGCATGAAAAGAAACAATGACGAGTTAGGATATTCATTTTGTTGTGAAAATAGTTGCAGAGTAAGTATACGCCAAACTACGTATTTCGAGATCTTGTATCTGACATGAGGTATAGGAAGTAGTGCCCCCCCGTCAGACTCTTTGTGGATCATCCAAATGGGACGCTGGTTTCCCAGCTATGAGGGACTAAGACCAATTGAAAGAACATGGAGGAAAACTAAGGGAAAGGCACAATCTTGAAACTTGCCACGAATGGCATGCGTAGAGAGGCCCCAGGGAATAAGAGGGATGAAGGCAAGGTGGAATACGTTTAGAAGGCAAAGAATTTTCTCTTCATTTTTGCTTGTGCTTCCTCTGTGCAGTTGTGTTTGGTAAGTCTCTCTATGCTTCTATCCCTACGTGTACTAAAGACTTCCATGCTTTGTATAAAACCAATCCCGTGTAACAAGGTACTTTGTCTCTATCAAACGAGCATTTGTTGCACCAGATATTTCACAAAATTAAGGAGCATAGTAGAAGCTATGGGGTGTCATTAGATATCTTGAGTGTGTTATTGTTTCCATAGTACCGTTATTGCAGAGGGAGCAACTGCCGTTCATCTACATCTCGTCTTTATGTATCCACCCGTATGCCCTCTACTATCACCAACCATTGTATTAGGAGGGCTCCGTGAAACCCAAAGAGGGAGGGCTTTGTGAAACATAGATTCGCACGCAACTCAAAACCTGATTTTTTTGGAATAAGTTATTTTTGAGAAATTTGTGAGAGCAATAGTACACATAGTCAGAGTAGCGTAGCCTTTTTCTAATAGATAGCAGCGTATCGCTATGCTTTCAGTGTTGGGAGAGGGTGAGGCCAATCCAAATTTTGCAATATGTCCAAACAACAAGCGAAGTGTGTAACCGGCAGGGTTGGAGCAATTTCGGGGCCTATGGCTCAAAGTACAGCAAAACCTTTAGTAGCAATATAAAACACATAGAGAGAAATTGCAAAACAAATAGAAAGCGGATGCATAATGGCGGGACTTTGTAGCACAGACTCACAATATGCACAACGGAGCAAATCTCAGATTTATGCAACAACAATTGGAGGAAGAAGCGCCATGTAAGAGCTCAAGGATGACTCGATAATTGTAAGGAGAGCAAGGTTAAAGCTTGAAGACAACATGATCAAGGGAAGGAGCAAGACGTGGAATACCAACAATGACCTCTACAGCAGGGCACTATAATAGGAAAATAAAAAAAGAACTTGTAACAAGACATACCAATGGAGAAATGCAATAAAAATTTGCAACATGATATAGGATAATATAGATCAAGGTGGACAACCACATGAATTGGAATTTGTTCAAGAAAAAGAACAAAATTTGTATTTTTTTATTGATATATCAATAAATGATCATTATAGCTTTGTGATATTTAATGTCATTAAATCTCTTTTTAATCAATAGATTTAAAGTTTATTATGGTTAGAAAAGCATAACTCTTAAATAGATTGGATTTCTTATAGTCTTGACTTTTTTCATAGCATAACAAAGAGTATTGTTAACCAAGTAAAAAGTCATAAATCTAGTACAACTAAATCTTTATTTTTGGGTGCAAGTACTTTCTTACATGTTAAATAAGAAAGATCACCTTTTAATATTTATGCTACATCTATTTGTATTGGTGGAAAGAATTTAAATGGCATTTGAAGCCAGTATGAAGGTTATCTAGATATTATTGAAAAAAAAAATGCTCATAATCTTTTGAAGCATTGTCTCTATAATTGTTTAATTAATCTTGACAAGAGAGCTAAACCAATCTATAACTTATTATAAAATGAATTGGTTGCAATCAAGGAATACAATGATAAGAATTTGGCCAAGATTTTCATACACCATTTAAAATCTCTAACAAAAGATCTTATCTTGTTTGTAAAAAAAAAAGAATGGATCATTGCAAATGTGTGAAAATTATTGAGGATTCAATAAGATTACTATCAAGAATATATATTCTTTATCTATGATATTCAAAATTTTTGATCAATTAAATTAAGCAAAGATCTATATAAAAATAGATCTACAAAGAATATATAATTAGGTATGCATCAAAGAAGGAGATAACTAAAAGACTACATTCTGAAACAAGTATGGATATTTTGAATATGATTTAATGCCTTTTAGACTAAAAAATGCATTAGCTATTTTTTAATATTTAATAATTATTATTTTTTGAGAAATTTTAGATGATATTATTGTATATTATATAAAAAATATTTAATCTATTCTAAGAACAAAAAAAGACTATAAAATTTATATTTGTTGTATGTTATAAAAACTTAGAAATATAAGATTATATGCTAAGATGAAAAATTGTATATTACATGCAACTCAATTTGAATTCTTAAAATATATCATTTTAAATAATAGTCTTATAATGGATCCTAAAAAAGGTTAAACTATCATAGATTGGAAGATTCAAAAATAATAAAAAATATATAATATCTTTTTAAATTTTTTCAATTTCTTTTAAATATTTTAAAAGATTTTTTAAAAAAATTGTAGCTCTGCTTACTTATTTAACTAGCAAAGACAAATTTGAGTGGTATAAATCAGATAAAAAGCATTTAAACTTTAAAGTTAATTTTTATTTTTGCACCAATCTTGTATTAAGTCAACTTCTCTAAGGTATTTTTTTATAAAAATAGATGCATCAAAATTTATCTTAAATGTAATATTATCACAAATAAAAATAAAAGATAAATTTTACTAAATTTTTTTTTATTTAAGGATATTTTGAGCAATAAAGATCAATTTCAAGATCCACAACAAAGAACTTTATGCAAATAGGAAATTATTTCATGAATGATGTCATTATCTAAAACATACTTTAAATTTGGTAATTATTTATATACATGATAAGAATCTTAAATATTTTATATCAATATGTATTTTAAATTATTTCCAAGTATGTTAGAACTATGTCTTTATTAAGATTTGAATTTTAATATCTAATAAATGAAATTTTTTTATAAATTTCTTGATGATATAATCTAATTTATTATTTAGACAACATTCTAATCTACTCTAAGAAAATAAAAAAATATGAATTTTATATTTTTCATGTATTACAAAAACTTAGAAATGCAAGATTATAGCCAAGATGAAAAAATATGTATTTCATACTACTTAAGTTGACTTCCTAGGATATATCATTTCCAACAAAGAATAAGCATGTATAAGAAGGAATCAAAAATATTTTTTAGCAAAATTTATCTCAAGAAACTAAGAATTGATATCTACAAAGGATCAATTATTAACCTAGATTGAAATTAGACTGAGGCACAAAATCACGCACTTATGGAAACTTTGGAGTTTTTTGGTAGATTAGAAAATAGAATTTGAAGAAAAACTTCAAAAGATATTTTTAAGTATTTATTTCATATCATTTGAATAAATATTAAGGTTTTGAGGGATTTTCAAAGATAGTGATGTTTTTGGTGGAATCAAGGTTTAGAAAATAAAAATACATTTACAAATTGAAGTTTTTTTGAGTTATATGATTTGCATATAGGTGAAATTTAGGCAATGTATTGATGTACTAGTTGTAAATATGTATACAAACTTTGAGCTCAATCAAATAATTAAATTGAAGTATATGATGGTTATTGTGGATTGAGGTCTTAGAAATTGGAGTTCAAGGATTAGTGAGTATTTTTAAGATCTTTAGTAATTTTTCAATTGGATTGAAGTAAAATTATTTTATATGGATACTAGACTTAATTTTCAATGTTTGGGTGAAATTTGAGAGCAATTCAATAGTTCAAAAAGGAGAGATTAGCACTAGAAGTTCAACATTCAAGTTGGAGTAAGAGACTGCTGTTGTACTATAATTTTTTTATAGTATATAAAAACTAACTAAAACATATAATATATTTATAAGTATTGATTTATATTATAATGGTTAGTAGATTAATTTAAAGAAAGTTGATGTAAGAGAATTTATTTTAAAATTTATCTATTTTAATTATAGTGTTTAAATTAAATAGGATTTAGATATTTAATATAAAATTTAAAGAGAATATTGGGACTTAAAGATAAAGATTCAATTCTCTAAGAAACTTATTTAGAGGGATGAAAGCAAGGTATAGATAGATGAAGGCAAGGAGTGAAGATCTTCATCCCTATTAGTCAAAAGCCATATCTAATAGACTCTCAAGAGATTGTCTGCGACCATAACAAGAGTTTTGGTGATGTCAAAAGGAACATTTGAGAATCAAAAGCAAGAATTATAAATTTTAGAATTTGGACTACAATTTGTATGCAAATTTTAGAAGTTTTGGATTTAATGTAATAAAATTATAGCCATTTGAAGTTAAGGTGTCTTTTTAGGACATATTGTTGCTCTTTTGAATATACAAGGAATTTTATAATAGCTTTTGGAAATCAAAAGATGTAGCGACAAGGGTGATTTTAAGACCTATATCTTTTGTAATTGAATTTTTACATTTAGAGTTTATGTAAAAGAATTACAGAGCATTAAAGATAGCACATGTAATTCAAACGTAATAAATAAGTCTTATTATTGATAGCAATGGTTGGAGCCATATTTTGAATTTTTATACAAATTTTTGGCTCAAAATTTTCAAAAGTATGTATTATTAGGTTAAAAAGCTATATATCAAAATTTTAAGATATTTAAATATTTAATTTGTGAAATATAAAGAAAATTGTACATACAGTGACAAACAAAACCGAGTACAAAATCAGAAGTGC